GTGATAAGGGAGATTATTCCTGGTGCTCTGGTGGACAAACCGGATCCAACACATGCACAGGTGAGTGTGATATTTTTTAATTGCAGTCAGTGATCCTTCTTAAGATATATGAAGAAGCAGAAGGCCTGATAGATTTTCCTTCGAAAAGTACGGGGGTAGGTGTTTATAGGACAACTGCATGTAGATGCCCTTGCTGTAGGTGAGTGTGTGTCCCTCAGCCACAATGCCTTCGTTTGATTCCCTTAGTTATTAAGATCCAGAGCTTGTTGCTACTATACACTTACATCATATTTCATCTTCTGTTTCCAGGTTTACAAAGTCAACATAGGAGACCTTGCCCTTGCTACCTGGCCTGCTTCTAAATAAGGATCCCAATAGGATTGAAGAAAAAAATGACTTATTTTTTTAGTATAAAAGCTGTATGGTCCCAAATGTTTTGTTTTACAAGTTAAACAAAGAAAAATCAAAATAGTCCCGATTACTTTTGAAAAATGTTCAGTGGTTTTTATACGGACTGCCATAATTTTAAAAATTGATATTTGCAATAGCTAGTATTTTCCTGAGGATTATTTGTCGAGGTAGTAAAGTGATAGTATAATATTTATGAAAATGTACAATCAAAACCTGCATAAGGCAGCTGGACCTGACGACATCGACAGCTGGACCTGACGACATTGGTAACTGGCTTTTGAGGGAATATGCAGAGATCCTCGTACAGCCTATCACATCTATATTGAACGGGAGCTTTAGAGAACAAAGGCTTCCCGCCCCTTGGAAGCTTGCGGATGTGGTGCCTCTCCCAAAGCAAAAACCCGTGGTAGATGCTACTAAGCACCTGCGTCCTATCTCCTTGACTCCCACTATCTCTAAGGTTGCGGAAGATTTTGTGGTACTCAGATACGTCGGTCCAGCGGTGTTGCAGATTATAGACCCTTTCGCGGTACGTCCAATAAAGTCGTTTGCGGAAGATCCCTTGGGGTTAGATAAATGGTGTGTTAATCGAAATTCAGATGGATCCTTTTTGGGAACAATACCCAGTGGAGAGCGACGAAAATTTGGAAAGGGGGGAGCTGTGAAAGGACCAACAATTCTCCCTGCATCACATTCCTTGTATAACTTAGCATGCGGTACCACTGGCTGATCCAGAGCGCTTTTAAGATTAGGAGATTCAGACGAAAACCGCTTACCAACAAAATGAATATGAAAACCAAAACGAAAACCGTCAACAAGAAATTGTTTTAAAACTCTGTCATAACCATGCAGCAAAAACTCAAGCCGATCCACTCTTACTGGCGTGAATGGCTTGCTGTGGAGAACCCGGTGTACTATCTTGTTTGCCTTTTGAACTGAAAGGGAAACCACCTTTTGGCACCGAAGCTGAGCGCTGGCCGCCCGGGTGTTTTCCACCACATTTAAAACACACGTGTTTGAATTTGCATCCGGAACATTGCTTACCTGCTTGAAAGTCCCAGCAGGTCCCTTTGGGAAAGAATTGAGAACGAAAACGTGGTTTGGTGGTGGGCGGTTGCGGTTTGCGAAAAGTATTTGACGCCTGTAACCACAACTCCCAATGTATCCTATCCCATGGATACTGCTCTGGTGCCGATTGTCTTACGGAACGAAATTGTTCATCATACCAATGCCAATCTCCCCGCTTTGAAGCCAGATCCCGGACCACCTCGCAATATGTCATTAATTGAGGAGTGTAATTGTTAAATCTTTCCGCGTAAACAGAAACGAAAATATTACACGCAGAGATCCACTGTGAAATGTTGGTTATTTTCTTAGAAACGTGACAGGGTTCAAGCGTCAGTTGAGGCTGGCTTGAAGAACCGGCGACTGACGGTGACATAGATAATGAGTATTTCTCCTCCTGCTGAGGTGAATCAGACAATAACGACCCGAAATTAATATATTCATTTGCCCAAATTTTTGCTTTGATTTTGGAACTCACTTTCGAAGTGAGAGGGACAGAAACACTGGTGAATTGAACTTGTGGTCTTTGATCATACGGACCTGTGTTAACTAAGTCGAAAATGGGATCAACTGCTCCAATACCTGACTGAGGATTGGTGATGACATTGACGTCCTCATTCACAGCCTGTTCAATAAGTCCAGTTGGCGCTTGTGTAAACTACTGGCGTTGGGGAGTTGTTGTCGAGCAGCGAAGTTAATTTCTCAGGCAAGAAGGCCGTCTTTACTGCTTGTGTAATTACGGCAGAAATGGTAGCAGTGATTGCGTCGACATCCGCGGACATTGTGCCTGGGGATGAACTTGAAGGGTTTGAAGCAATCATGTTGGCCTGCTCAGTTGTAGTGCTCTCGTGAACAGTGGGCGCCTCCTCAGGACACAGTCTTGGCCGCCTGGCTCTCTTGTTGGGGCGAACAGATGGAATGGCGGCTGGCACTGTAGCTTGAGTTGCTGGTTGTTTTCGCAGAGGCATTTTTTAGAAAAAAGACTACTGAAACTGGCAAAAATAAACAAGACTGAGACAATTAACAGCACTGCAGGGGAGACGAATATACCCCGCGAGCCATTGTTGTCTGGAAAATTACTTAGTACTTGGGAGAGGCAGTCCAAGATATATATAGCCTAACAGGCCCAACGTTGCCCAACGTATTTTTTGTTTTGAAAAAACTCAGGCATCCCTTATTTACCTTTAGGTCAACGAATTCTTTATTACAATGCCATGATAACACAAACCATGATGTATGGCTCTAGTGTGTGGGTTTCTACACCTGTTGATAATTTAAATGGGTCTTCAGGCTACAGAAGTGTGCCGTATGCGTTATTCACAATGCTGATACTAGAGCAAATAGTGTGGATCTGTTTAGAGAACTTAACTGGCTACCTTTTTTCGTACAGCTTAGATTTATCGGTGTGCATTAGTTTATAAACGTTTGAACGGGGTATGTCCCGATTATATGCTAGAATTACTCAAAGAAACATCGACATATGTTCTACTGAAAGACAAAGTAGATATGGGTTTTTGAATTTTTTTGTCCAAAGTATAAAAGAGAATCAGAAGGTGCTAGGACTTTTCGAGTATCAGCCACTACGTTTTGGAATTCACTTTCCAATGAAATCAAGTGTACCTCTAGTTTAGAATTTTAAAGAAGTCTTTATATAAGTTTTTTTTGGAGTCCTTTAAAGAAGTTCACCGTTTTGCACTCCTATAAAGAAGTTCACCAGTTTACTATAGCTTAGGCCATTCTACTTAATTCTCATATATTTAATTTTTGGATAATTCATATTTTAATTGTTAAATCACCTAGTTTTAACTACTTCTTTATTTAAAAGTATTTGTGTTTATTGTTAATTTATTTTGAGGGCCACGCGTTTATCAGTATTTTATACCGTCAAGTGCCACCCTCGAAAAATAAAGTTGATTATTGTTATTATTATCGTCATGCACACTCAGCACCGGGGCATTTCCAATGACTGCCAATCTAGGCTCTGATATTTGCTGATGGTTGTATTTTTTTGCTGCATTTCAATGGTGCGTTGGGGATTTCCCAGGATATTATCGTTTTCAACCAAGACTTATTTGCCTTTAGCCTGCGAAAACATCCGTTTCTCCTCGCTCTTCGCCACCAGAGATGTTTTGCGAGGATGAATTTCTGCAGAAATTGCACTCTTCAGACCTTTGGAGAGCAATCTTGTTCAGCTGATTTGGGAAAAAAAAGGCGGCAGCTTGTTTATTTCAAAAGCTGTAACTTATTTCTAATGCACTGGAAAATATTAAACAAACCTTTTTTCGACTGAAATGGTTTCGTTGCAAATAACAGAAAATGCTTGCTAAAGGAAATTCTGATCCAGTTTGAGCGTGCACGCTGTATACAATTTCTGACAGCGTTTTCTTGGAATGTTCAAGCACTGCCTCCATAATCAAAAATTCCACGTGCGGATGCATTGCCACACTGTTTGCTGGTCTTCCAATAATTCCTGCTTTGACATCTCCAGAATTTAAAACATTTGAAACATAACGTTCGATAGTTCTTGGTGACATCCATAAAGCAGCTGCAACCTCATCCACTTGAAACCCCAACATTTCTTTCATCCAAATGGCTCGCGATCGGAGATCTTCGCTGTATGGACGAGGCATTGTTAATTTTGCTGATAATTATTCATTAAGATCCCATATTCCCCTTCGATCTTGTCTTGTAGGCTTGAGGCTTTGATCCGACAACATAAATTGAAATAGCTGTAATTCACAGGATATACCAAATAGAATAAAGAGAAATTCACCAAAACAGGATATTTACAATGTATTATAAAAATTGTTATTGTTTTGAATATGCATGCATTGGGGTACAAGCACAGAATAAACATGACATTTTTTTTAAATTCCTCATGAGGCAATGTTTTTTTTCATCAAATGCAGGGGAAGTAAGATGTATTTTTACCCAAACAAAACAATTATCTTCGAATTTACATCCTACTCATATGGTAAAAACTAAAGAGAAGCATACTCCTCTAAACAGCAAAAATCACATCTTGAACACAACATGAACTACATAATGTACCTATGTTCTGGTATCCTACGTGAAAGTAAAGGAGGTGGTTGCGCTATGTTACAATAGAAAATATTCCATTTCCACACTATTCTCTACTTTCACAAATTCCATAATACACCCCTTTTACCCCCCCCCCAAAAAAAAAAAAATACGCGAGGACATTGTTTCAGATTTCTCTTGGGACATCTTCATGTCTCAGGAGAAATTGCAAACAATGAATATCAAAAATTTGGGGGGGGGGGTAAAAGAGGTGTATTATGGCATTTGTGCAAGTAGAGAATAGTAGTATTGCTTTCACCTAATATGTCACAGGATGAGCACATCCGTTGAAAATAAAAAACAAAAACAAGAACATTCTTTAAAATGCTTTTAGTTGGCATTGTTCTTGTTGAGTGGACACAAGCAACTTGAGGTACGCAGGTGAGTCGTTGAACCACACCTACATTTCCGTCCACTGACTATCACTGTTTCCTCGCCTTCCATTAAGTGCTCAGCTTCTTGGACCAAGGTTCTGTCCTCTTCACTGCCATCATCCTCATCCTCCGCACATATGTGTGAAGAATGGCTTGCTGCTTGACCCATTTTTTTCGTTCTTCTTGGTCTTCTGAACGGGCAATTTTTTGTGAGACCCTCTTTTCTTTCGCTTCATCACTCTTCTTCATCTCCAATTCCGTCTTTCGCTCCTTAGTGGCTTTTTGGGAAGCATGGACAACTTCAGGTAGGACAGGCAGATTCATGCACTCGTATAAATCAACAATCCAGTGGTAGTCAGGTCCACGATGGTTAAAACACCATGTCATGTTTCCCTGGGCAAGTCCACAGTTTGTTGATGTGATGTAATGCAACCTATGGAGAAATCATGATCAGGGAATCAGTTGTCAATTTTCCTGTGCTTCTGATTTCCTCATTTTCCTAATAACTCTCCAATAGTACCTAATCAAGATAAGTAGTGATCAAACGTACAAAGTGCAAAGCCATTTTTCCTGACATTCTCAGATTTCATTTTTCTGTTTTGTTGCATGGAAACAAGAAAATAATGTGCCTTACAACAATGATAATTCTTATAGTGATGACGATGATAATAATAATAATAATAATAATAATAATAATAACAATAATAATAATAGTAACACATAATTTTGTAATAGTAATGATGTTCGAAGAAAGTATGTTCTGAAGAAAATGTGAATTATCAAGAGTAAGACTGGCAAAAATGCTGAAGAACATGAAACAAGACTACCAGTAAAACCAATCACAATCAGTAATAGTCTATACAGAAAGTTACCATCACCAACAGGCTGTTTTCAGAAAAGTCCTCTATAAATTGGGCTAAGCTATTGTTCACATGTACGTACCTGCATAAGCTTTGGTCCTTTGCTCTGAAATGTGGCAGGACAGTGAAATGTGCCTCACACAAATTGCACTGTCCCCTTCCCAATTCAGGGTGAATAACAGCTTCAGCATCATTTGCTCGCAGTTCACATTCTGTTTGGTAGGCTAGCTGATGAAACTCGCATCTTAGCACTGACTTGGTGGAGTACGCTTTTCCCTCATAGGATATTTCCTCATCTTGGTTGCATTTACCACAAGAGCAAACAGTACTGGGGTGGAAATTACATTTCCCATCAGCCCATTCATGTTCATCTTTGCAGTGATGAACCCCTAAACTCCTCATACGCCTTGCATAGTCATCTGGACTCTTGCACTGCTGCAAACGGCAGAAGTGGTTCAACCGTGCACCCTGGATAAATGTGTCAGACAAACAGCCACAGGTTTTGCTGTGGCGCTTACATGCACACTTGACTGATTCAACAGCGGGGAATGTATCTTTCCATTTTTTAATTTGTCCAGCTGAAAAGACCTTTTACTTAGCTAAGTCTTTCAAATTGTTCCCATGAGCCCTTCCAACATGACCCCCGCACTTGAATACCCTCCTGGGCTCAGCTCCAAAAACTTTCTCAACAGACTTCTGGGAACTGGAATCACCATCCTGCCATACCACCACAACATTACAACCTTCACTTTTAGCCTGATGGTAGCACTCATCTGCGAGAATACCTTCCATTGATTTGGCAGTCCCCAAAAACAAATCATCATCCTCTGAGTTTCCACGCATGCACTTGTGGCTGAACCATAGTAAACCCCCAGTTAGGTAGTTCTTTATGATGAAGGAGCCATTTTTGCTAAAATGGCCTCCGGTGTGCCAGCTTCCTAAGACATTGCTGTCAATCCTTTTCATTTGCACCTTTTCCTCATCACACATTTCTGTCAAGATGTCATGAATGTGGGGATATATCAATTTGACAACCTCGAAAAACCAATTTTTGGATATGGCTTGGATGCCAAGACACTGATTCAGAGTTCTATGGAACTTTGCAAACCCATGTCCTGAGACAATAAATGCCACAGCTAGGGCTAGTCCAACAACAGTTCTCCTTGATGCTTCAACGATAGATGACCCTTGAAAAGAGACACTTCTCAACTGGCACCCACTACAAGCAAATGTGATGTTGATGGTTCCACCAAGGCCTACTGTCTCAACTCTAGAGGGTATCAGCTGACCTAAAAGTTGTAGTAGAGGGGTATTCTTAGAAATATTTGAAGTGAAGCACTAATTTATTGTTGCCTTGATGAAACAAGCGAGAATTTAGCCAGCTAAGTTATCAAAATGAAGGAAAATGTTGATAGGTCAATGTCGGGACATTTATTTCAAGACACAATAATTGATTTCAAGCATTTTTTTTTTACGTACAACAAGGATAGGAAGTTTGCGAAACTGCCTCAAACGTGTTCTGAGAAATGACCTCAAATTCGAATGATTGTATGACACCTACAATACCAAAATATTATTCACCTTCTGGCCTGAATGAACTCAAAGCTACACTACAAAAAATTAAAACGGCAACAGTTCAACAATTCATGAAACATACCATTGCAATCGGGTGTAGAGCAACAGAGGTTTTGTTTATGTCCTCAATCAGATGGATTATCTGCGAAGATTCACAAACACAAAGTTGTCGCTCCACTTTCAATGGATTCTGCAAAGGTTCCTCGCGAACCATTTTCCGCCGTTTTGGGGATGGATCTGGCTCGAAGTCTGCATCCTTGTTATCTGTCTCGTTACCCGAAGACTCTGATGACTTATCTAAGCAGAAATCCATTTTTCTTTTAGCCAGCGTCTCTTTGACTTTTGTTGACGTGTGATACATCGTTTTGCCTGGAGAAATATATTTCACCGCATCGTGATGGTCGTATGATGTTACTTCTGTTGTCCATTGCGCTGGAAGCGAAAAATCTATTCGAGATCCAGTTCCAAGACCTCTTGCTTCAGCCCCTTTCTTTCCTCTATCCTGATACAATTTCTTTTTCTCTGATTTCGAAAGTTTCTTCTTTTTATCTTGCAATGCCATTGTAAACAAAGGTGTCTTACAATTTGATCGATTATGCGCACTTCGCTAGTGGAAGTCAATCTCAAATGTCACGCCCCCCAAAATAACTCGTCCTTAGCAACCGACAAGCAAAGTAATTCCGGGGGTAGTGTTTGGGTTCAAAACAAAGACAAATCTAGCAACTGAGACCCAAGAGGAGGGTAAAACATTGTTCAAGATGGCGGCCAAACATTAAACTACGATCTCTTGCTACAAAATTGACTTCAGCGAGCCTTTTTGGGCGTTTTTTGACAAAAAGTGGACTGAAGACAGGTTATCCATATTTTTAAGAACGTTTTTCTTCAAAAGTATAGCACCTATAACGATGAAATTTGGCCATTTTGTTCAACTCCTTGTAATAAACGATCGCTTGGTTGCAAACTAAGTTGTGATGAAAATTCCTCGACTACCGTCAATTTTGGGTAAAAATTGGAAATTTCACGATAATTTTTTAAATATCACCTCTTTTGTGTTTTGCAAGCTCGTGATTATTCAGAGTGTTAATGTTTGTAGGATTCTCAAAAAAAGGGAAAGAATTTTTATCTCACGTCCACAAAAAATTAGATTTTTTAAATTTATAGGCCCCAGGGGGCAAGGCAATAAGTTAATAACTAACAGGAACAGGGCCACAACTATATTGGCATAAAAAAGTCAAGTACCAATTCTAGTCACTGACAAGTATTCAAATTTATTAGCTGAAATTCTAAGATAGTATCCCATTTTAAAGTAGATTCCAAAATACTTAAAATTACCCAGTGCAACTACCTTAATGATGATGGTCACAGCAGTGAAGGCTTGGCCAAATGTACAAAAGAAACAAGTGAAGCTGAGAAAGTTTTACAGTTGGTGTGAGAAACTTTTGGGGGCCACGAATAAAAATGATCTCATTCCTTGTGGAAAAATTTCATTCCTACTCATGTTCCCTAACGTACATCCAGCCAAACCTTGAATGTTTGTCACCATCATTATCAATAGTCATCAGCTATGGCTTGAATACAAGCATTTATGGTTTGTATGTAAAACTTCCTTAAAAAGCCTACATTAAGTAGACAATGTAAGTAATAATGTAATAATAATAATACATTAATTATCCTCCCCCCTTTAGGAGAGGAATAAGCAAGTTTTACACCTACAGTTCGCAGAATGCAGCTCAGAAGTTACCCATATTTATTCCATTGATTAAGCCCCTAACCTCAAATTAGTGCCACCTCGAATAAGTGCCCATCCTGTTGGGAGGAAAATTTAATAAGCGCCCAGCCTTGAAAAAGTGCCCACCCCCGCCTGCAACTCCCCCCTCCCCCCTCCAATCTGCTCAATCTGCAGCCTAACATATCCCTTAACATGAACGGGTAAGTTCCTGAGTCTATTGGCCAGACTTCAACAGTAGATGGCATCTTCATCTTCCTCTTCTTCTGTCCTGCTTTTCTTTGGTTGCTCGGGTTGCAATAGTCTATCTGCTAAGCTTGTTGCAGTTTTTAGTAAAGCCATATCTACATCACTGTCCTTTGCCTTCCTTGCATTTGAGGCCCAAGGTCTTTTGGTGTTGATTTCCCTTTCTGTTTTGAACTCCCGTTTGGCTGACCATCATTAGCAGCAGCAGAAGAAGACGGAGAATCAGCAGCTGGAGAAACAGACGTTTCAGATTGCACGTCATCCTCACTTAATGTTTCCTCATATTCAAGCGAGTCCTGGACATTGTTTGCACTTTCTGCTTTTTCACCATGATTTGCATCATCTTACCTTTCATCCCGACTCTGCACATTTGTGACAGTGGATGGTCGTTGGTTGATGTGGTTTGACAACCAATCCAAATTACTGAACTCTGCTGGAGAGGGGACAGCATCATGCCCAGAACCAGATGGAACAGACTTTTTTTTCTCGAGTATCGCCCATACGCGGTTCGGACATTCTTCTATTTTTTTTCTGCTTCAGACGCGTCGTCTCTCCTATTGCTTTCCAGATATTCATTCTTATAAACTTATTCTTATAGTCCGTAGAAAATTTGTTGTAAATTGCAGGATATTTTTGCACTTCTTCCATAAAGAGCGACGTGTTTAACTCAGTGTTTTCTGCCGCCATTTTGAAATGGAGCATGTGGGCTAGGAAATTTGGGATAGGAGTGATGACTTCTGGGATAGCCTTCGATCGTCCCAATCGTCTCAGTCGCCTGAGAGCGTTTCCATATGATCCCTTCAAAATTGACACGATCGTCCGGATAGAACTCAACTCTATCCAAGCAATCGAGGTCGTATCAGTCGTTCGGGTTGTATGTGAACATCTGGGTAGCGTTTCCATATGATCGTCCTGATCGTCTGAACATTTTTTGAGACGACTGGGACGATCCGGACGATCATATGGAAACCAGGCTTTAGGTTATCAAATTTACAAGTTGTTCATCACAATCAGCATCTTATGTGTGGATATTAAAATACATTGCTGCTCATATGCAAGTCAGTAATTGTAAATTACTAATTTAAAAATCCAAATATGGTAATTTACAAAAACAAGAGACAAATTCCAGACAAAAAAAGTACAAAAAACGTCAAAACTCTTCATATGGGATGCACGTTAACCAACCCCTACACACAAGCTTTTAAGGACTGAAAACTACTACACTCAACACTTCAAAATGCAAACTTACCCTGAAACATGTCCGCTTCACTTGGAAATCCTTGCTTTTTTAGCCAGTTATGAACTTCATCAGTCAACCACTGGTAGACTTTGGTTGCATCATCCTATTTGGGCAGTTATGAAAGACACAAGAAAACATTAGGCACTAAATGGCTATAAACGTTTGAAATAAATAATGAGATAAGTAAAACGAACTTCACTGAACCGTTTACAAGCTGTGACTGAAAATAGCGTGAAATAACAAAAGTGTTTCCAAAAAGACCCTAGTCTTTCATTTACGCAAAGGATTTTCAATTCACAAATGCCAGCTGAACGGTGAAATGGCCATCATAACTTTAACCCCCTGCTGCACTAAATCACTCAAAAGTATAATTTTATCATGATGAACTGAAAAGTATTACCTTTTGATAGTCCATGGGCCCGACCAAATTTTCTTACCACTTCAGGGGAGAAAGAGTGACATGTATCAGTTTAAAGACTAACTTAAGTTGTTTAAAATTTTTGATGATAGCAATTTTTAACGGGCAGCTTTATTATATTTTTTGGAAATTAAAAAGATGGAAAATAGCCCTTTATGAAAACCAGACCTTACAGAGAAAATAAAGTGTCAGAGAAGAAACGATAAACATTGAACCTTCTAAAACAAAGAAAGAGATGAGATATGTTTTCTTTTATTCGTTGCTATCAATAAAGAATAAAAACAACGTAAAAAAATTGTTTTATAGCGCTTTTACCTTCAGCTGCCTTTGTAATGCATTATGGGTAATCCAAGATGGCGGACAATCTCTCAGGTAAATGGTTGGTCAGGATTTCGATGCACAATATAACAATTTACAATATTATAATAATTGTCTTTGAAATACAGTTAGACAAAATTAAACAATGTTTGCGGGGGTGTTCGGTAAAAAGTATGCAAAAACTAATTACCAGCCTTCGAGATGTGAACTAGACTTCAAAACTATAGTTATCATGCATCAGTTAATTCCACCTGCGTCCAGCTCCCCCCTCCCCCCCCGGGACTGACCCCGGTGCATTGGCATTTTTTTTGCCTTGGATGGCAAATTCCCAGGGATAGGGACTTTTGAGATGTCAAATTCCCCGGGGTGGGGACAAAAAAAGAGAGCAAATGCCCCGTCTTCAGTCAACACTAACATTTTTCATTGATCGCCCAGTCGAATAGTTCCATTTTAAGCATTTTAATGTGCGATTTTTTGTTTGAATTAACGTCTTCCTTTGTAATAGCGCTAGAATTCTAATGATTCTAACGACGACACAACGACATGCACCAGTTTATGGTTTTAGTGTTGATATCAAATTATTGACATTAAATTAATAGAACGCTGTAAAGTTATATGTTATGAATAGTTTTATAACCTTCAAATAATATCAACAGAAATTTGATTCAATAACCAAAAAATGTTGATTTACATCGACAGCTCCAATTTCGCAATGTCATTTTGGCTTGATAAGCAATGAAGAAATGCATACATACATACAAATGCATGCATAAAATCGAGAAAATGCTTTTACAACCGTCTTCAATTTATTCCTGTCCTTTACAGATGAGCCAATCTGCTTTTTTTTTTCAGTAAAACCCTCTGTGTAGTTATATTCTAATAGGAAACCGCGTGCCTGTTTAAAAGCTTGGGAATGGCCCCGGGGTTGAAAAATGCCCAGCCGCCGGGGAGTGAAAAATTTGCAAATGCCCCATCTCTGGAACTGACGAGGCGGGCAAATGCCCCGCAGTAGCCCGGGAGGGGTTGGGCGCAGGTGGAATTGATTGATGCATGAGTCGACTTAACTTTTCATTTTCCGATTTCTGTCGTTGTACAAACATTATTATTACTGGATAAATTTCACCGGAGGTGTGTGAAAGAGAAGCTGCCTAGTGCTATGAGGGATTTAGAAGAAATGCTTGAAATTTGTTTAAGTTCCAGACAGTGAAATGCTGATTTTTTTCCTTTTACTGGCCTACTTTTACGAAAGTCTTCACAAATATAGCCTTGTTATCTTAATTTTTAAGGAAATAAACATAAGAGGATTATCAATATAGAATGAGATGGACCCCCGAAGAAACGTCTTTGTGTGGAAATGAGAAATGACTGTTCAAAATTAATACATTGTACTAAAGATTATGGTGACTTATCATCAGTGCAAGACTTGCAGTCATGGAAAACGCTTGTAAGGGCCGCCTAAATTCGGCAGTAAGCACCAATTTTAGGTCTCGCAAAAGCAGTGGTTGGAGAAGAACTTCCAACCATTACGTACCACCGTAAATGCCGCAATAAATTTACTTTGAAAAGAGATCTATACAACATATGTAAAGAGAGAATTCAAGGCAATGAACCAGAATTATCAGAAAGAAGATCCTCTTTTCGGGAACCCCCAACAAAAAGCACAACGTATAAACGAGTTTGCAGTTTCTGTGACAAAGTTAGTAAGTACGCTAAAGGCAAAGATGTATGGGAGAAACTGATTCAAGGCATTGATCTGCGTGCAGACGAAAATATCAGAAAGACTGCGTTGGCAAAGAATGATAGCAAGTTATTAGCTATTGTGTCACGAGATTTGGTAGCAGCTGAGGCATGCTATCACGGAACTTGCCACAGAGAATACACACGACCAAAGCCAGAAACAGGCACATCCTCGACTTTATCATTTACATCTCAGGATGACCAATATGCTTGCACTGAGGCAGCAGCGTATGAGAAGCCTTTCGATTAGGCGTCACCTGCTGGTGACGCCTAATCTATAAGGCTCACTGATCCAATACTCAAACGATGATCTCCTACATGAAAGATCTGGGCATTAAGGAAACTAAAGAGTCCTCCAAGACACATCTTCGCAGGAAACTTCAAGCAGAGTTTATTATAGTTTGAAGACCTGCTTAGTAACAACAGAGCCTTTATTATCCATGCCAATTTGTCACGACTTCAGTTGGCTAAAGAAGTAGCGTGATTACAGCATCTGCAGTGCGAAGGTCAAGCATCATTAATAGATGACATCCGACAAGTTGCTCTAGAACTTCGGAAAGCCATGTGTCGCAAAGAAATCGAGATGTCGTGGCCTCCTAAGCCTTCCCAGCTCACTGAAGAGGAAATAAATCTCCCTGATGAAGTTAGAGTGTTTCTAGCTACCTTTTTAACAGGAAAGTCAAAGTACCCAGAAGAAACATGCTCATCAAAAGTCCAGCGCCTTGTCAACTTGTTTAGGCAGGACATGGTATTCGGAGTGACTGCCGGCCGAAAGAGGCCTCTAAAACACATATAAGTACCCTATGCTGTCAAGACCTTGACAAATAATATACAACTAATTTAGATCTTGAATGGATGCAGACATGGGGTAGCCTACTCACAAATCGAAGAATTGAAGACAGCATTGTGTCTTCAGAAAATGGCAATGACCCCGTAAAATGCCGTCCCGTTTCCTGACAACATCAAGCCTCACATCAGTACATGGCTTGCCTGGGACAACATCGACAGATTAGAGGAAACACTCCCAGGTGGGGGGATGTTGCATATAGTTAATGGCATTGCAATACAAGCTCGACAAATGTCTTCGAACGTCATGGTTCTAGGATTTGCAAACGTCTTCCTGGTGTGCATGCTTTCCCTGGATGTGATAGTGTCAGCGCATTTTCTGGAAAAGGAAAACTGATGGCGTTAAAGTTAGGAAAGCGATGTCCTGCATACCAAGATTTATTCCAACACCTTGGCGTGGAATGGAAATTATCGGATGAGCTATTTGTGCGTCTTCAAGAGTTCACATGCCTGATGTACTCTTCAAATCCTGGAACTAAGGATGTTAACTTGTTGCGTTACCCTCTCTTCTGCACCAGGAGAGGAGAGTTAGAGTCGCCCCAGCTTCCACCATGCCAGGACGCGTTACGAAAGCATTGTGAGAGAGCAAACTATCGGTCAGCAATATGGCGCAGGACTCTTCAAAGTTCACCCCAAATCCCCTTGCCCATTGGCTCTGGATGGTGCCTAAAGGATGGTAAATTGACTATTGACTGGATGTGTGGGGAACCGGCACCCAAGGCTGTGTTTGAGCTCCTATCCGGCCAGTGTAAGAGAGTCTACCAGTTGCCAAGCTGTACCTGTCTCGCTAACAGATTGCATTGCAATGACATATGTCGGTTACAGGAGTGTACAAACCAGCCAGAGGAAGCTACAGAGGATTTAACTGCAGGTGATGGTGAATGTGAAGATGATTGAGCTGTAGTACTCTAAAGGTTCTCGCAGTGCCTTGGCATAATCTCTTAGTGTTGTAGAGTCGTGAACAAAGTTATTTGCAAAATACCAGACAGGAAAGTAAAAATGGTCATTAGGTGTTGAGGTTTCTAGCAACGTTACTGCGTGTCACTAAATAGACTAAAGCTCAAGCACTAATCTGCTGCTCTTGTAATGTTTATTTCGATGGAAATGCGAATAAACCGTTGATTATTTAACACAAATATTCGATGCTAAGTGTACATTGATACATTAAAGCAAGTAGCTGACGATTTTTCCTGAGGGAGTTCAACATTCCTATGTATGAAAACACTTTTAGCCCATGTGATTGTTGCTATGGCAACGAAGGTATATTAATTCTCCTTAATTTTCTTAGTCAAATGTTATCATAATGCAATTTCGCATTGAAATCAACAGTAGAGCACAAAATATGCATGAAACCACTCTGTTCTCATCAACCACTTTTAGATAGTTAGCTCATATTTTGTCAGTGATTACGTCACTTAATCACGTGATTTTGATATTTAAGCTGGCCATATATCGCTGCTATCATATATCAAACTAAAGTATAGGAATTGAGGTTTAAGAAAATGTATGATAGCACTGCTCCCTTTAAGTGGTAAGAAATTTCAAAATTTTAGGTCTTGGCCCATGGACTATGACAATCCAACACTTATTATATTCTCTTCTGCAGCTGCCCTCTCTTCAGCCATCTTGCTCTGTTCAACACAAAAAGCGCGGAAAGGCCGGGTGGCAAAGGACTGTGGGTAGCCTTCAGTCGCATGGTCAGTCTTTGTTACTGCTGATACGCACACGCGTGAATCACAGCTACTGCACAAATCGAATCAGTAATCGAATTTACTTTTTCAACTTGGGGATCGAGGTTTGGACTGTTTTCTTGTTCCTTCAGCTAAGTGCTCATGTTTTACCTTGTCCAGAATTGTTCTATTTGAATTTATGCTTACGCTCGTGATCCTTTTGACTTTGGTGTTGCCAAAACAATGTATGGCATCGGCCAAATCTTCAAATCTGTGCAGATGTTTGAATCTCTTTGTCCGGGATTACAGATGTTCAATGCTGGTGCCTTCTGTGTAAGGGCAAAGCTGTCTATCCCATGACAGCATGGAGGTATGCACCAAGGGCAAATACTGCGAGAACGGAAAATTCAGATAGCCAGTTGCTCATGCCATCTACCTCCTCAACAGTGATCTCAGATGCATGTGATATTGAATTTGAGGCATCATCTTCTTTCTGCGAAATCCCCAGCGATTTACCATCAGCTGTGCTGGCTGGAAGACAGTATGAGCTTGGTGAAAATGTGTTAGAAAATGAATCCACTGCGTCTGATCATGAGATGCCCATAGGTTTGCATGACAATTCTGCATGCCCAAGTGATGACAGTTCAAATGATGAGGAAGACAATGATTCCAACCAAGATGATGGTCAAGACAAGGACCTGGACCAATTTGTTTATGACACTGTACTTCGGCTGGTGGAAATAAAAGTGCGAGCTGAATTTTCCCAGAATATCTTTGAGGATCTTCTTCAATGGGGAAAGGATATTGCTAACAAAGTCTACACCAACATAGCATGGCCTTCCTGTTGGGCAGAAGTGTTAGTTCTCTTGGAAAAATTTGGATACCAGAGTCCAAGCTTATACTGGATCTGCTTAGATGATAGCCATCCTTACCTTTTGGTGTTCTTTCTGCAAAGGATGAATTGTGTCCTTATTGTGGCAAGCAGGGAAAAATCCCTTATTATTATCTCAGTGTGATAGAAAAAGTCAAGAGATGGTGTTCATCACCTTCCACATGTAAAAGGATGACAGCCTATTGGAAGGAAAGATCACACTGGTTGCCTGGAGTAAGAAAGGAGGGGTGGGGCTGGAAGCCGAAGAGAGAGTTCTGGGATGGCACTCGTTTTGCTCAGCTGGCATATTTCTGGGACCTCGAGGCTGAATGGACTCTTCCTGCCAGGTGTCCAGTACATGGCTGTAGTTGCATTATCTCTGCTGAGAGCATGCTTAAAAGCCCAGTCCTAAATGGTGATTTGAGGCAAGTTGAGTGTCCTAACTGCCACAGCATCTTTCACCGTACTTCACGAACGGTAAAAGGTGACCCAAGAAATTTAGCATATGATGGTAAGTGAATTTATTAAAACTAAGTCTTTTGTTAGATGTCACAGGATGGAGTTGAGGATAATTTTACAAGACTTACAATACTAGCTACTGTTACAGTGCATGCATTAATGTTGTCAAGGTTGAATCAGCTTAATATTGATGCTTCATACTTTTCGGTACCCAAATGCCTGTCATATCATTTTTTACAACACTGTACATTTAGGTTGTCAAATTTACAAGTTGTTCATCACAATCAGCATCTTGTGTGACGTTATTAAAATACATTGCTTCTCATATGCAAGTCAGTAATTGTAAATTACTAATTTAGAAATCCAAATATGGTAATTTAAAAAGTTTCTTCAAACAAGTTGTTTGTTCAAACAATCTCAATTGTCATTATCAATGGACATTCACTTCCTATCCAGAAGTACATGTGCACAATTTTTCAGGGTTTTCCTATCCATAAGTTAAAGGGGCAGTATCACGCTATTTTTAGTAACACTCTCTTCGGTTGATTCCAGCCGTAAAATTATGGCTAAAATTCCTCCAAACGTCTATTGTAATGCAAAGACATTATTCTTACATAATTTCGGCGGCAGAAAACCAATATAGAGATCGGTTTATACTTGAAAACCTTGGGCCAACTTTTTGAAATGTTTGTGTTTCAATTCACTTAAAATCGGTTTCAAGATATTTTTTCTCACCCTTTCAATCTAAAGTTACTTCATTTCTTGGAATTAGTTATGTAGCAACGATTCGAATATGAACAAAGTGTTCAAGGAAAAAATTTCGGGAATTTGGAGCTAAAATCGCGATAACCCCCATGATACTGTCCCTTTAACTTAGATGTGGGTTTTCAGTATATTTTCCTCACAGCAGCTCTTTATATGTAGTAGTAAAAAATAATTTCACACCAAATTTGCTGTATTTTGAGTCACTAGGAAAAAAAAACAGAGAAACCAAAGTGTTTAGAACGACTTTTTATTCTAAAGACATTGCTGCATGGTTGTTAACTTCAGATTATTGCATTTCAGTACATTGGGATGGTTGGCAGCTATTCTCGTCAACATCCAGAGGATGTAGTAAGAAAATTGGTCTGTTTTAAACGAGTATTGGATTAAGATAAGGGCATTTGTTACCAAACTGATGCATGGCAATACCGTTAATGTATTTTGGTGTAATTGCAAGCTCTATCTAGACCCTTCACATGTAAGAAAGAATAATGTGAACACGTGTACTTTGCAGCCATACATTTCTTGCCTTGACCTGACATAGTTTTGTAATTTATTTCTAAGTAGCCTTTGAAGTTGGACTTTTGACTACTTCAAAGGGGAATCGCTGCCAGGTTGACGAAGTTTATGTGTTTGGTTTTGTGCCATCCTACCTGTTACCCAAAAAACGTCCAGCATTCTTAGATTTTTTCATGGAACTCTTCATGAGAGAAATCGAGGATGGTTTTATAACTGGTAAATACTATTTGCTTTGAGAAAGTTCCTGAGAACTTGCGGAAAGTTGATTTTAGACAGTTCTCCTGTGAGATAATTGTGAAACAATACAGTACAATAATAAATAATAATTGTAATTTGATTATCAATAGTATTTAAAGTTAAGAAATGTTGTGTGAGTTATATAGGAATTCAAGTTAACTATGCAGTACCCATTTGTGAAATGCCCCAAGGACCATGCATCTTGCGTCATCTTGTCCTTTGCTGGGGCTTTGTGAAGTGGGAAAATTTGTCAAATGCGGGAAGAAAGGCTGCAGGCGGTGTGAAACCACAAGTATGTTTCCTATTTCACTGTGAATTTGTTTTTTCGAAGGGAACGTTAAATAGTAACTGTCATTAATAAGGTTGGATCTTGCAATAACCATGATGTATTTGTACAGTGTCTTTACTTTTCAGGATCATTTGGAGTTTCAAATTGTCGATTTTGGCCTGCCAGGGTACGGTGTACAGTGGTCCATAAGGGACAGCGCTACAAACTTAAATTAACACAAATTACAAAAATATACTACTGCAAACTAAATCAAATACACTACGAATAAAATTAAACCAGCATTGCCAATGAAAAATCGACTTCACTCCTACACAATAAAGTGAAACGCTACACACCGAATAAAAAAAATTAACCGCAAACTGCAAATGAAAAGAATAACGCACACCCCAAATCAAGTGAACAAACTCACTGCAAACAAAAAGCCAAGGCACGCCGCAAATGAAAGGGAAGTAATGTATGTGTGCGCATTTATGGTGAAGGCCTGAGACCGAGTAGTATGCTCAAGTTCGCGCGCTTTATCCTTGGGGTTACATTCAAGATGGCGTCTAATTATGTTCGAGAGGAAATTCGTGCAGCAGTCCGTGAGGAGGTGTCCCAAATGCTTGGTTCCTCTCGAACAGAGCGCAAGGTCGGTGAAGGCATAAGTCCATCTACAAGTTTGGTGAATCCCTTCCTTTCATTATTTCTGCTGTGTTTGTTCCTCTCTAAGATGAGAGAATTTTGCCATAACAGACAAGCATTTCAGTTTATTGATGTGCAAGTATTTGGTTAAAATGAGTCACGACGTATAATTTCTGTATTTAAATTATGATAATTACTTTGTAACGGAGCATGCTAATTGATTTCTCAAACGAATCCCCAAAGTTAATGGACTGACTAAACGGTTTGGTTTGTATGCAGGTGACATCTACATTTTTGATGAACTCATTAACAGCTGAATACTCAGAGTCAGGATCAACAAAGAGACTACAGGAGAGAGACTACAGGCCATTTTAACCTGCAGAGAAGAACAGTTTTGGCATAACAGTAAAGTTTATTCATTGCAGTAATGACCACCAAATTTGTTTCCCCACCATTGCTACTTGTGCCTTTGGGATACAGTTACCTGTTGCTCATATGACCACTTTCAGTGATTTTAAATTTAACATGGACACTGCAATAACACATGAAAAGACCTTTGGAAGAGCTTAAAAGATGACTTTGACCCTTAAAATACCAGTTATTGTTGAAATGAAATGTTGTTGAAAGGCATCACCCGAGGTTGAACTAAGCGTGACAAGACAGAAAAAAATGGTTGTAAGGACTCTGCATGATGGCATTTTTTCTGCTTTAAGGGCCCAGTGACCTATCTTTTGAAGCCGTTGCTAGGGAAAAATTTTGGTTGTGTAGCTTGAAATCCTCTTGTCATGCATTGGTCATTTTATAGCACTGTACTTCCTGGTGATATGCAAATATAAATATGATGTCATCGGACCACGCCCACGCTCACGTTACCAGAAACTTAAACGTCTAAATCTTGGAAGTTTATCATTTCAACCATGTTTTTTTCGTGGATATTTTCTCATTAAACTATGCATCGTTTTTGTTGTATTTCCTTTGAACAAGATTTCTAACCCAGATTTGAGGTACTGAAATGGTCATGATTTGCTTCAAAGAGAAAAATTGCCAAAAATGAATGCATAGTTTTTTGGGGAATTTCAGTCTAAATTGTCCGGTACGTTAAAAAATTTTTTTTTTTTTTTAAACCAGGAGTGGCTTTCTTAATGCATGCGTATAATACTTGCCCAATATGCTGTGCGTTGGAACCGACAAGCAGTGGAATAGTTGATCGCGGCGTTGTTTTGTTGCGGGTTTTCATGACTTCTGTAAGTTTATTTATATATGAAATTACTAAGCCATGGACGAAAAGTATTCGTGAAAAGGAAAAGATTTACTTAAGATTCTTTTATGGGCTGAGAGAGAAGGTAAAATGATAGAGGAAACTGTTTCAGGTCCCTGGCGGACCATACGACGATGCGAGTCGCGGGATTGTCGGAGTAAACAAGGTGAGGAAAAAAACTTTTAATTTTGCCTGTAGGTGACCTTTGGGTGTAGTTTCAACGTAAAATAGCTGTAAACACACTATTTACTTAATCACTGGGGGATTACTGGAGCAGTTGATAAATATCCTTTTAAGGTGGCTTGGTTTTCGGAAGTTGCTTGACCCCTTTGTTCGTACATGGAAGCTTATGTTTTCAACTGTTCATTTATTTCTTATTATTTACAAGCATGTCTTGCTTCGTTTTGTACCAGTGCGTTTAGTATAATGAACCTGGCATACATTGCATTTACATATACAACTTCTGTGTTGTGAATCCTGGTTTCAGAGGTTTTTTGTGAAATTTTTCTTCCCGTGAGACGAGAGGCATGAGTGACAAAAATTAACTTTCATGATTCACGTGGCGAAGAAGACCACCTTCTTTTCCTCCCTCGGCTGTTTGAATTTTTTTCAAGAAAAACCTCTAGGACTGGTGTAGTATTACCGGTACCTACATTTTACACTGTTGGCAGTTTTCCTTTGTAAATAAATGCACTATTTTGACTACAGTATTTTATTCCTCTCACAACTTGAAAATGTTTACAGGTAAAAATACATGTATGGCTTTTGCTGCCGGCTCCTTTACCACCCATGGTTATTCATCATGATGAACTTGTAAATGACCCAGGATCTTGTGAACTATAATGTACATGTGCTTGTTATTGTTGAAAATGAAGTCATGAATTTAATATTTACAATGATTTGTATTTTCTTTTTAGTATTTCCAAAGAAGGCCAGTCTTTTATCTAACTCCTTAGCCAATTTGTCAACATACTCGTGGTTGGTTATTTTGATGTATTTGCTTGTGTTAGTTTGCTGAACCTGTTTCTCAACAACGTCAAACTACTAGTCCAATCATAACAAAGCATGTTCACTGAAAAATCTGTTCATCTCAATAATTGTATAATTTGTGTGATCATGATCGTTTATTTTGAACTTAATTTTTTATTGAAACAGCTAGCCTTGTGTTAGTTTTCAACTCAATCTCACAAACCTGATTACTTGAGGTGACCAATGCAGTTTCAACTATTTTTATTGTTTATAGGATAGACACGTCCTGTGTAAACTTTGCAGCTCTCTCGGACAACACTCAAAGGTGGTTTATAAAAAAAAGGGAAAAGAGAATTCAATTTTCAACACATTTTACCAACTGCAAGATCATGAGAAAGAATACATCATAAAATACTTTTTGAATGTTAGGTGAACAATGTTTGTTTCGATCAGAAACAAGCCATGACCAAGCTATAATTTATTATTTTGAGCCCTGACTGTGTCTTCTTACTGCCCATAAAAGTACCCAGCTAGCTTTCGACAACACACTAGAGAAAGGCCTTTAGCTCTAAGAAAGTGGACAAATGGCTCCTGCTCTTGAAATCTAATTCTTAGGTTTTGTAAATTTCCAAATGAGAATCCCTGGCTAGCAACTTTGCGAGCCATGCCCCCGGACACAGTACTTCCTAATTAGAGGAGGAGGGTCTTGCTCTTTTCTCTTGTTTGCACCATGGCTTTAAATTTTTTCTTTTGCTCTTGAGCAGTCCTCAGGAGAGGCTCGTAGAAGGGAATTATATGCTTCAGGTCTGTGCAAAACAATACATCTCTCATTGCTTGCACATCAGCCAATGCTCTGTCGGCTTCAAAGTATAACAAAGTTTAAGAGTTTTATGTTAGAAATAGAAATATGAAATAACGCATGTCAAATGAAATTGATAGAATAAATTATGCATGCTTACACAGAGTTTGGATATTTGCATCTCTGGATTTAGAGAAGCCTATAATCATTGCTACAATGAGGGACAAAAGTGTTGACACACTTCCGTAAAATGGCCTCTTTTTGCATAGTGGATATACTTATCCCCTTCCCCTGTCTACCCCAACCCCTTCCCCCCAAAATCAGTGTTGAATTTTGGACCCTCAAGTCTTTTTTTTACTTCAGACAACATTGATTCGGGGGGTTGGGGGATTTACGGCGTTTAAAAGGAATGAAATAATAAATGAATTAAATGTTTGTTAAAAGCACCCGTTTTAAACAAGTGTGTCAACTACTTTTGTCCCTGATTGTAGTTGTTCATACCAATTGAGAAATAAGGAGGGAACGGGAGCCGAAATGTGTCCCACAGTTGTTTCTTATTCTGGGGTTTTTACTGGGGGTGGTGGGTCAGCTATTGGCCATTTTTCCCTGTCCCTAGTAAACAGTTTTTTTTAAAGTTAACTCGGACCAGTTTGTGATGAATGGAAAATTTTTAGTGCTCCATGACACATCATAATATTGTGATGCAATCAGACTCTGCCCTACTCAGACTGGAGTACAAAGCATTGGTTTTGCTACCGCTATTGTTTACTGCAACTTGAGCTAGAAGCAGTTATCACATTTATGTCCCCAACAAATTCTGAACCTACAGTGCACAAGGTTTACCTTGAAAATTTGCATTTGGAAAATACAGTGCATGACGTGCTGGCATGCCAAGCTTTTGGTGTTTTTGTAAGTTTAGTTTTCCTTGTTTCCTCATCTGTTGAAAATAAACAAATTGCTCAAGTATCAGTTGTCTTCTTAGAAAACTGCTTGTTTGTTATAAGAGTGTCATGATTACCGGTATATACTTGTACTTCTGAGATAGAAAAACTACATATCTGTCCAAAAAATGAATACATGTACTTAAACAAAGAATACTTTAGCAACCAAGTTAATTCAGTGTTGTAAATGCAGTGTAATACCATTATTACAGAAATAAAAGTAAAGGAAGCAATACATGTACACTGTATGACTGCCAAAATCCATACATTTTTGGTACATTTTCTGCATTTCTTTCTTAGCATTAAAATTAAAATCTCTCAATCTTACTGTTCGTAGGTTCACTAATGAATCTCCAGAGCAGATGTGTTTGAAGAGATCATTTTTCAACAAGGGATATCGTCTGTCCACCTCCGCAAACAGGAGTGGAAAGTCATAAACAAAACCATTATGCGCAATCAGTACTAAAAATAAATACAACAGTAATGTAAACGACTGTTCATGAAACAATCCCATTCCTATTTTACTATTGTAGTAGCTTGTCATCACTATTTCTATAACACTTCTTCTTCTTATATTTCAGAATTCTGATCTCAGCCTTATAAATATTTATAAGATATATTAATAAAATGACATTATTTTTACATGGTTTTGGACTTTGTGCTTTTTTATTATGTAGAATGGACTATTTTGATTTAATTTTGTAGACAAGAGATGGACTCTCATTTCATTTAAGTAGTATAACTTTGTGTACCTGGGAAGTATTTTCTCTTGGTTAATGTGGAAATCTCATTTGTCAGATTTTTGATCCATGATATAAACCTTGGAAGTACTTCTGATAGTTTTGGTTGGTTTAAAAGGTCAGTCTGTTTTATTCTACATTTTTTCACAACTGAAAAACAAAATATATTGCATGTAATGCTGTTTAGTCTTGTTTTTACTGATCTTTAATCAGACAAAAATATAAAAAATGGAAAAAGCATTGTTTCACATTATTGATTACTTTCAACCTCCAACCTAGTGCTGCTGTTCTCTTAGAGGTGTTGATGAGAGACTGGAATGTTGATGGGATGTTGGTTTCTACATTGCCAGGCAGAGGCTGCAGAACAGCAGCAATCTCCACTACGTGGTCCTTATAGACTGATCCCCCAGTACCTTCACAATCATTTAGGAAGTACAGTGGGGAAGGGCTGTCTGTCACTTCATCACTTGATTCATCGTCACCGCTGCTGTCTGTTAAATTGGAGATGTAGTTATCTGGCTCAGATAACTCATCTTCTGAATTTTCACTGCCACCACTTTCTTCTGACTCAGAACCAGCTGTTCCACAGTAGGATGTTGTTACTGAAACTGCCTTCAGTGACTTCATACATTCCTTCTCTTTTTCATGTTTTTTTTTTCATCTTTTTTTCCTTTCATTTGTAAGAGAGAATATGAGACAAACATTCTCTTTTGTTGTACTACTCATTGTTTTGAATGAATTTTTTTTGAACAATTTGTTGCGTTTTCACTGACCACAGAGGTAAAATAGAGGTGCTAAACAGTAATGAGGCCTTCCAAGGGGTTTTACCGACAGGCGACATGACCTCAAAATGTGGCGACAATCTTTTTTAAAAACACCGACAGCCGACAGGAACTGACAGAAAAAGAGCGACATTTTGTGACAACGACAATATATTTTTTAGCTAGAGAAAGCGACATCTTCCCACTTTTTTATTGCATCATTTCGACGGCGGCCAGACCAGGTCCGCGTGACTCTTTTCTGCAACGAGACGTGACTATCACTATTGTCACTATTACGTAAAGCATCATTCACACTTAACTTCTTGTCATGAACCACATACAAAAGGGTCGAAGGTCACAGAGGGCACGTGGTCATTACGTCAATCGTTATGGTTGGCACGTGGTCATTACGTCAATCGTAATGGTTACTGGTCAGAGTTACAGAGTGTCTAGACAAAAAGACAAAAGACGCTTATACAGACAAAGAGCTTTATTAAATAGGAGAAGCCCAAGAAAGATCAAGAAAGGTCAAAGAAATTCTCATTGAAGTTTTATGTAGTTGTAAGAATCCGTTGTAGAGGTCTTTCCTGTGTTTTCATTAAGCTGACAATCAGCTAAAATCATGGGTAAACACAAGAAGAAAAAGGACAAAAAAGAACACAGATCTCGCAGCAAAGACAGCAAGGTCGGCAAGAGTTTAAAGCGCGGACATAAACGCTCACACCAACATGACGACAAAAGCCACAAGAGAAAAGGTGAGAGGTTAATCATCAAGGTTAATATTATTAATAACTTTTTTATGTCTTTTATGACTTATAGCGCCCAGCATTCGATCTCCAGTTTGGCCGCGCTTAAAATAAAGAGTCTTAAAAGCGACAAAAGCAGAATAAAGTCATGCATAAATTAGGATGCCATTTTTGACATTTTTATGCCGCCACTTCGCACCGCGGATATGTGTTTGCATTATAGAGATCTATTAGAAGATTGTAATCCGATCGAATAAAATAAAAAATGATCGAACAGAATAAAAGCATGCGAATAGACTTTACCGTGGCTCATTCTAGACATTCTAGACAGTGGGTATGTCACAAATGTCACAAATTGTTGTACAACTTCAGTCATTGTCTCACAAGAGAAGAGAAGATAAAACGGAAGAAAACAACTTCTAGTACTATTATAGGAAAATTCATTACCTGAAGAGGGAATTCCACGTTAAATTGCACGCGAAAACCGATATCGCACGAATCGCGAAGCGATGAGTGCGATATCGGTTTTCAAGTGCAATTTAACGACTCTTTAACGTGGAATTCACGAGTCAGGTATTGGATTTTCCTTGAATCGCATAACTGAATAAAAATCAGAAAAAAAAAGAAAAGAAAACGGCAATAATAGCTATTGTTTGTTTTTATCCTGAGCGCGCGCTCCAGAAAGCCATTCAAAGTCAACTGTCAGAACTGTCATTGCGTTAGCGAATAGGAGCAAGGTCAGTCGTACACGTTTGAAGACCTTCGACAACTTTTTTTGTACCTTGTGCTTGTTTTTACATTTGTTTTCAAACTTTTTTACATGTAAACAAGCTTTACACTAATCGTAAGGATAAATAGAGGTATTTCACTGAATTTACAAGCCGTTTATCTATAACATCTTTTTTCAAATTGGTCATTTGCTCGAGAAGGAAAATAATTTACACCTTTTACCTCTTCGGTGGCAAAACTTAAAGAAATGAAGTGTCCAAACGAAAACACTGAAAGTATAACGTCGCGATTGATATATGGTAAGTACCTTGAAATGTTTTAGAAATGCTGTTCAAGTTCAGCTCTGTTTTGTACTTTTCTAAGTATCACGATTCAGGACGATTGCAAGCAGCGTACTCTTTTTCGTGTTTTCACTGAGGGGCCCTGTCGTCTTTGAAGGTATTTACACGTATTTCTTCTCCTGTGTATGTGACAATCGACCCCGGTACTTCGTTCGTTGTCGTTTTTCCGTTTTGTTTGGTTGAACTTTGGCTTGCCATTTTCTGGGCCGTGTTCACAAGATTTTCTTGTTTTCTCGTTGTCGCGAGCGAAAGAGGTTTTTTATGCCTCTTCGAGAATTTGTAGTTCAGGTCAAAACAAGGAAGAACCTCCCGCTCACTATAAAAAAACGCTTTTGTTTGTTTTTAAATCTTCAAAAGGTGACAATGGTTTTGAAAACATTGTAAAATGATATTGTAGAAAACCTTTTTTGCAGTTGTTGTGTTAGAATTTGACGATAGTTGTTACGTAGATGCGAGACAATATCGCTTAGCCTCGTTTTCAACTCGCAATTCCACACTAAATACCTCGCTTCGTTAACCAATCAGAATGCGAGATTTGACTCAATTATGCGATTCTAAATGAAATCAAGGGTTACTGGTGAAATGAGGGTTGGTACGATTTTGAGACAATCGACACTAACAATCAAAATGTGACAGCCTTTCGAAGACTTTCGAGTTAGCTGATGGTAAATGACTGCGTAAATGTGAAGAAATTGACAGGAAATTTGTGATCACGTTAGCTTATTCTGCTAAGCCCCTAGTGACGCAATTTTTCAGTAGAACAGACTCTGATCCTTTGTTCAGACGATCAGCATGTAGTGTCTGTAGTAAGCCAGAGTTGCGCCAATGTATGACCTTATGTAATAAGTCCGTAAGACTGGGGAGAGTTGACAAATGCGAGGCTACTGAGATAGAGGTTGTTTACCATTTACAAGGGAAAATCGGTTGGTCAACAGTTTGTGTAAATGGTAAGCAAAACTCCAGAAAGGGAAATTCCGTTTGCGAAACGAGCTGAGTAACCACGCTTACGCATCAAAACTGGCGTAGGGTCTGGAACTGGTAGATAAAAAAGCAAATGGTACACACATTTCCGTTAGGAAATTTCGGTTGGGAATTTTGAACTACCTTTCAAGACGTTCCGTTTATTTCGGAAATTTTCCGGTTGGTCGAGCCAAAGTTGTCCATTGTCTTACCATTTACATTCTGACCGAAATTTCCGGAATTTTTGGGTAAATGGTAAACAACCAGACTCCGTGAAGCGCATCTGTGACATCTGTATGGAAGAATAGTTACAATATCGGCACTCAGTATCACAATTAGCTATCAGTGCAGCAGTTTTAATCAAGGTTAATCAAGTAAGTGTAAATATTTGTGGACATTTTTCAACGGTTCTGCATCGCAAAAATTGAAATACCGTCAGCGACATTTTCCCCAACGAAACAGGCGACGGCCTGCATCGAAAACAAGCGACAAAGCGACACCAGAACCCCCCTTGGAAGGCCTCAGTAATACAGTCATTCACATTTTAGATGTCAATTTCTTAACTTTAACTGTCGTTGTAGTAAAATGCACTATACCTAGCACCAATCGTTATACATTTGTATTTGTATTTTTCCTGTCTTAATTATTAGTTGTAAAATATTTTTACAAAAATTAGCAGTTCATAGATTAAAAATAGCATTATAAAAATGAACCTTTTCTTTTGGTAATCTTGTGAGCTTCTCATCTTGATCTCTCTTTCATATTGTTCCTGTCTCTTGATTATGCATTCAACTGACTTCTTTGGCATGGGAATTTGAAGGAGTTGGAAAAGCAGAAGTACCCAGATAGGACCAATGTTCTACAAAAAAGTGTTGTCGATGTATATATGAATAACTGTTACAGTAGCTTTAGCTGGATATTATATTTCATCTTTGTTTATAGCTTTAAATGTCGACACTAATTGGTTTGAGTAGTGATTTTTTTTCAAATTGTGTTAGCTCTTTCAAATGAAATCTCTAGCATTGTTCTTTTCAATAATGCTTGAATTATCATTGATCAATTTTGTTTCAAGAGAATGATTATTGTGAAATAATTTTTTTAATTACACCATTTTATTACATGCTTTAATGAGATCACCATATTATTGTTGATCACCTTGTGAGGTATTGACATGTTAGTCTTGCATTTATAATGTACGGATCCCAGGTCAATCCTCTTGTTCCCGTACATTAAAGCAATCCCATGGTATCCCTCTGGGATGTTATTTGTTACTCTCCCATCAAGAGTAATGTACTCCTCACGTCTGGTGGCCATTTTTTCCAAGAAGTGCTTTAAACTCCCTCAGTTGTGATGGGGAGCTAAATGAATGTTTACAGTGGTAGGGCTTTCCATCTTCATCTGCCTGTACAATTACACAACCATAATTTTTTAAGAATTAAGAACTATTAATGCCAATAATAATAGTTACTGTTGGCAGTGACCAAAACAAAAAGCTCTAACTGTACAGTTTTTAATCGCCTGGTTTTATGTTTCATGTTTGCAATGATGCAACAAGCACCAAAATATTTTTTGTGTATTAGGGACTGGTCAAAAAGTATAGGGGGGGGGGGGGGGGGGGGGG